CTTCCACCAAACGCTTCACAGCTTCAACACCAGCCTGTGTGATGCCACTTGTATGACAAGAGCTGTAACAAGTTTTTTTTTTTTTTCTTAGACGTCCGTCATCTTCCCCGGCTGTTATTTCCTGAGGAGGAACATCGGCTCTTTCTGATAATTGGCTGTAGAAAAATTCAAATGTTATTCATCTCACTGTCTTCTCCTTGATGATGTGACTGTTATGCGTGTGGCGTGAGACAGATACACATACTGTAGTAGGGAGAAGAATCTGGATCCTCCCCTCTCACTGCCTGCCCACTCTGGTTCTCTCTCAGCTCAGACAAATTGATTTCCCACTCTGTCGGAGGCCAAGGTAATTTTCCCACCAAATAAAGGAACACTTGAGGAAAATAAATGTTTTTAAGTGATCAAAGACGTGGGAGATTGTCCTTAGCACGGAGTTGGTGGTTCACTCAGACAATCCAAACATGTCCTGCTCAGTTAGACAATAATCCACCACGGCCAGCCACACCAAACTGCACATGCAGTCAGACTGTGGAGGGTGGGGGGGCGAAGGTGTGGGGGAGGGATACCAACAATAATATTTATTTTTAAATCAACGTCATTTCTAAAAAGTAAAATCAGAAAAGGAGAGTCTTGTAATACACAGTAATACTGCAGTAATACTACAGACTTAGCTGCTTGACCAAATTTAACTTTATGCACTACACTGTACAATATGATTAACTGGATTATATACTTAGTAAGGTCAAATACATATGTACTGTGGTAGTTTACTAATTTTAAAAAAAAGTAACCAATAAAAACAGGCCAGCCAACAGGCAAGAAGATGATTGGCTGAAGCTGAGCAGAGCAACCATTAGCAAACAGATATATATAACAGATACTAAAGGATTAATGCAACTAGTAGTTATATGAATACACTAGAGACAGAAATAAATAAGGCTCCCACTCCTGTTTCATTCAAGTGTTGATCACTGTTCAAGGACAGGATTTTGGGAGAATATTACCAATACCAAAAACAAGTGTTTCTAACAACAATGAGGGCAAATACAAATACCTGCAGATTTCTGGTGAACCCCAAGGCTCTGTATTAGGTACCCTTCACTTTTTTTAACAAGTAAACAAACCTAATGGTATGAGGAAACCATATGAACAAAATACATTCATCTGTCATGTATCTCACAGCAGGGATGAGTCTATGAGTTAAAGCCTCATGTTGCCATATAAATGAGTCCTCCAGGAGCAGAACCGATCCTGTAGAGGGAAATAACAACGTCAGTAACCAGGAAACACGCCTTACTGTATGTCACCACACACCGCTTCCATATATAGTCCGTAGATGAAAAGCCCGTTTCATCAAAGGCCGGGATGACTCCGATGTCACATGTACATATACATCAGAGGAGTGATGGGAGAACAGAAACTTCTGTCTCCTGTCTTCGTATTAAAGGACATGTCCTTCTTACAAGTTCATCTCATCTCCCTGGTGAACGTGTCTCCTGGGTTTTTTTTTTCTCTCACGTCTTTCCAAACCTATTTATCTCTCCCCGCCTGCCTCTTCCTCCCTTTCACCTATTCAGTGTAACATTGATGAAGAACACTGTGGGCTGTACTGACACATGTACACACAAACACACGCACGCACACAGGAACTCATTTAGACAGATATATGAGAAGACGAAGAATCACTCTTGACTTCTCCCTTCATCCACATGCCCTTCCTGAGGCACTCCGACCTGGGATTTGGGGACCAGGTGGCATCAAGGGTGGGAGGCAGGAGTCCTCCCTTAGCGCCACCCTTCCCCCACCCTGAGCTCACCACACTAACATGTGTGTTAATCTGAAGCTAAAACTAAAAAGCAAAACCTCAAAAATCAACATGTCCCACAACAACACTAATTTTCTTTCGTCCCCACAAGTATAGGGAATCAAACACACACACACACACACACACTGTCACTTGTCATGTTTTCGTCAGATCCCCCACTGAATCCCTGTAGTTTCTACTTCTTTCTGACTGATTAAAAATCCTCATACACCCCTCTAACCCCACCTGCACACACATACACACACTTCTGATATTTTTGCAGCAGCCGTTAAAAAACCTCCATCTCATCAATAAACTGGATTAATGTGGTTCTTTTTGTTTTGTTTTTTTTGTTTTGTCACCTGCTTGTGTCCTATCACCTCATTAATTCATCTCCCCTGGCTCTGCAGCAGACAAGTGATGTGGTTTGGATTCACTCATAACCTGATTATGGCTGCCCGCCCCCTGCACTGGACCCCGGCCAAAACATCTTTTTACACAAATAAAACCAGAACGGCGTGAAGTTTTGTCACCAACTGTAGGATGGAACACTTGGGGAGGAGTTTATGAACAAATCAGTGGAGACCATTTACCTCTGTATACTGTCTCTATTGTTACACGTCCTAATAATTCAATTTATTTTTTAACATTGTAGAACATTCACATGCAAATTCCTCCACGAGAACTAAACACCATTAATAAATAATGTTAAGTAATTATACAGACAACCAAACGGTCTCCAGTCAGCAGCTGAGAACCAAATCACCGAAACCTCACAAAATCTCTCTGACAACCAGGCCTGGTGCTGGACTAATATCCCATTGATAGAACACAGACCATTGACTTTGACTCAACAGTTACCGGTCGACGCTCCTGCACAGTAACACACTGTGGATGAGCAGCTACAGCAGTACAGGAGGTTGGATAATTACAGTGTGTTTCTGGCTACAGTGTAACAGGGTGTTGGAAAGAAGGAAACGAGGGGGGGGGGGGGGTGTTCTGTCATTCTACCTGATGGAGAGAGGGAACAGAGGGAACAGAGGGAACGCTACAGTTTAAAAAAATAGTCCAGACAGAAGACAAAGACAACAAAAGAAGAGACCTAATAAAGCAGGGGGCAAAGGGACATCATTGAACTGTGGACAGGTGTTTAGCAGAATGCTATGATGATGACAGCAGCAGCAGCAGCAGCAGCAGCAGCAGTCTGCTGTGGGGATCACAGTAACAGTAGTAACAGCAGCCGGAACAGTAACAGTGAGCACTGACCAGTCAGTAGTTTCAGCTCAGAGTTAATGACGACCAGTTGTTTGCGCAGCAGCTCCATCATACATGACCACAACTCATGGGTTTTATCTTCAGTCTGACAGTATTTCACCTCCTCCTCTGTAACTCTTTTCCCTGGTCTTATCTTTTTGTCACTTCCCTTTAATTTCTCTCTCTCTCTCCGCTGCTTGAATATTTATGACGCTGCCTCAGTTCAACTGCAGACGTGTGGAAAGGTTCAGTAGGAAAGAGCTTCTCTCAGCGCGTGTCCCCGGAGATTTGGTCCAGTCGTCCATAGGTTATAGTCGACCTGTAAGTCGTGAGGATATTAGAGGCTGCTCCGAGAACTGTCCCATAACCAGGTAAATCACATGAGCTCATCACTCTGGGGAGACTTTTACTGTGTGCTCATCACAAAAGATAGATCCTGGATGGTGCGTGTGTGTGTGTGTGTGTAGCCAATCCCAGCTGTCAACCTGCAGGGTGGGGTTCACCCTGCAGGATGACAGTCCATCTCAGGTCCATGGACCATTTTGTAAGAATGCAGGTCATGAAGTGTCGCGGTTATCTATTATTGGGTGAATCTGATAAATATGCACAAGAATTAGTCTCTAAAACTAAATCAACTAAATCCATATTTTGGATAAAACCATCATTTTAGACCAGTTGAACCAAATCTCCCACCTGTTCATCCAAACTTGGAGTGAGATATTTATTTTAATCATTGTATTTATAATTAATCAAGTAATAACATCTGAAGTCTTTTTCTTCGCTCCGTGGTTTTATCCTGGTTATTTAACCGAGTTATAAATACAGTACTGTTTCATTTCCACTGCCCAAATCTACAAAGCAAAGAGTTTCCACCAGTGTGGAGCTGATCAGTGATTCTGGAGGCGGTTTGTACCGGACCAGGGCTCACTGGGTGCAGAGGGCCTGCTGAATCAGAGAGTCTGTCAGGTCGACGGAGGACCTCACATTAACATGCAGCGGGGCCGACGTCCACGCACTGCTCTGAGTCACCGCCATCACAGGCCCCCGAAGACGGACTGTTCACCCTGTCTGTTTGGAGAACAACTCTGTGGGGACGTGACCTTAGCTGCTGACAGGACTCTGACCTTTGCATCATAATGTCTCTTAACAAATCACACACTGCACGGTGGTACAACACAAACAGAGACCACAACAAACACACTTTCACTTAGCATTAGCCAAACCTAACAACAGAAACTTCAGGAGAAAAGATGCAGTGTTTGTCTTTAGGGCCATGGGAAAGTGGTTAGTGCTGTTGCCTTACAATAAGAAAGACAATGTTTCGATGTAAAAAAAAAGTCAACTTCACCAGACGCTTAATTACAGTTTGTTTTGCTCCTGATGATGTTAACCCACTACCTCATATCTGCTCTGTGGCGGTACAGCAGTGGATCCACTCTGACAGAAGTCGTTGCTCAGTGGCCACAGGGGGCAGTCAAGTCCTCCTCAGTCACAGAGCCCAGCTTCCTGTCAGTGACGTGGCAGATAGGTGAATGGGGGCGGGAGTCCCCCGGGGCCTCGTATTGACTGACAGCTCAGCATTCATTCACTTGGGCTGCCTTCAAAGACCCAGGCAAGTCTGCCTTGACCTTTGCTTAGTAATTAAGGAGCTGAGGCTGCAGAAGAGGAGAGAAGTCCGGGTCGGTCAGTCGAAAAGTCCTCGGACAGATGTGCTGCTCTCTGCAGGTGTCCGACGTTGACGGACTAAAACCAGAGCAAACATCACATTTGGTCAAAAGGATTGAAGCTGAAACTAATTT